TTTCTCGTATGTGTCCTCCGAGGCTAGACAGGGAAGCATGACGCCACCGCTAAAGAGACAACACGAGCAAGACCCGAAAGATATATTTCTACGGCATTACCCATATCTCAGCCTCGAGCCGGTCGAATTCAATCCCGGGCAATACTTCAATCACTTGTGGCAAGGCTCAGCTGTTTCCTCAAGCCCGCTCGATCGCACAGGCTTTCGCAACGATGAGATCTGCGATCTCCCTTTTAGAAACATAGTCCACCCCCTCGAACCTGCTACTATACATTCGAGTTGCGCTACAAGCGGAAGTAATTATGCCTCCACTGCGATTTTCAACATCCTTAATGATGGGACTTCTGCCAATGACGTCCTTCTTTCCGCCTCGAAGCCCGCCGATGACCTTGCGGCCATCTCCGTACAAACACTTAACTCAATGACTGGGATATCACAAGGATCAGAGTTCTCAAGCGTGTATCAAATTTTAAGCAGCGAACTGAAAGACATCAATTCCCGAGCAATTTCGATCAAGGTGGAGTCGAAACCCCAGAAGACGCTTGCACGATTAGCCCCGAAACGCGTTCGGGTCGGCGAGGCAACATCCTATGACAAAAGTCAAATCTTGTCAGGAATCACCGCTCAAGCGAAAAGAAAAAGATACAATGACAAAGAAAGGAGTGAGACAGCTTTAGTGAGAGCCATTGGAGGATGTATAAGATGCCGAACGCAACGGATCAGGGTCAGTCATCTCAGCCTGCTCAATTCAAGTCGATATTGGGTCGTTGCTTACATGGTTGAAAGTGTGATCATGATCCGGCCAACCCACTAAGTACATGTCTCCCGTGCATGAGATCCAGGCCGAGAATGAGTCGTTTACCTTGCCTCCGCTATAAGATTTCGGATTCTGTATTAAGCAGAACTGGGTTTGACTATATAACATTCTTTCAGAGTCACCCAATGACTGGTCCAAGATACGGAGACTTTCATCTTGAAAAGGAATGGGTTGATAATCGGACTTACACTCTTAGCCTGACTCAAGACTTCGGAGCAATATATTACCTGGATGTGCGTCAGTTTAAGGCACCGACGGAATCTGATGCTCTAGACCTGAAAGGAAGATCGATCTACAAGATTCCATTCGCGATTCACGACGTCGATGAAACGACAAGCACCGTCAGATCTTATCTAGACAAATCTGTAGAGCTCTACTTGGACAGTATTCTAGACGATACGGATAGTCTGATCTTTAATGTGTTTCATGCCGCCCTCCGATTGTCGGTATTTCCAGAACCAGTGAGAACCCGATCCCCGTGTCATTCTCCTCATATAAATCCTCATCTGAAATTTAGGATCCGCTTTTACGGAATACCCTCCGGTTGTGGACTGCTTGTCGCTTTCTCGAGGGTCGCTGGAGATGTTGTGGAAGTTACAATATCGGGGCTGAACGTTTAAAGAACCCATTTCGATCGCCAGATTGGATCTCACCCCCTGCCTACGCCGATTATCAGTTCGGCTCTATCATAATGCAGAATGTCATCAAACCTTTGCGTGAATCTGTTTTGAAAGAGCTGCAATCGTTGGTCTACGCCAACAAATCAAAAAACTGGTTCAGAATATTTCTGACTACTTTCATTCTACTGCATAACTACGAACTTGGAGTCGGTTTTCAATTTGACTTTGCAGCTCGAAGAAAAACGTCGGTATGTTTGTTGTTTTCAGGGCTGTGCCGCGCAGATTAACTAGATAATTCAAGGTACTATACCTCGATATGCCCTTGATCCGAGGCTACCACTCTGGCGCGAAGACCATTCTCGCCCATTATCATTCTGTCTGCAAAGGGCAGCTGCCATTCGCAGACGGGTTTGATTGGAACTCGCCCATAGTTCGAAA